TCGTGTCTGCGGCTCACTGACACTGCGCAGCAACTGAAACACCGTACAGTCGCCCTCCTGAGTGGTTGAACGCGTCGATTAAAGGCCGACGCACACTCGGCGTTTTCCATTTTTTTGCCCGCCGTTCCCTTTCCCTTTCCTATATCCTCTCCTCTTTTCACATCTCCCCAACTTGGCTGCCCTCGCACCTATAGGAGAAAGGTAGCGCTAAGAGCAGAAAGCCGACGTTGGTCTTTAAAGGGGCGGTGCAACAATTTGCGGACTTTGGCTAATTAATTGCGGGAATCGATCCCGGCCACATATAAAACGAAGAACCGAAAACTATTCTTTCCTGCTTGCCCTAGTTTTCATTAAAAAAAATAAAAGAAATTGGTATCTCTGGCACCCCTCAACTCAACATTGAAGCGGCACCAGCTTCGCCTGTGACGTCATTCGGAGTGGCGTTGGTTTCCGGTTGGGTTCTTCTGGCTTCCGTTTCCCCAGCGCCCGCCGGCTCGCCAGGCTCGCCGCTCTCCCGCTCTCCCGCCGATTCCCGACCAACATGGCGGCATGGGCGGACGGCCTGAGCGACGTCGAGCGCAAGATGCTTGCGTATAGTAAGTCAGTTAGACTTGTGCGGCGGGCAGTCGACGCGGCGAGCAATCGAAGTCGAAGTCGAGGTCGAGACACCAGGAACAATAACGATACCATAATACTACGGACCACGACCAACGCACTCCGTCGAGCGAGGGAAAGACAAAACGTCCGGGTTGCTCGTGTAGCCGCCGTAGGCGCCTCGGGCGTCGACGGATGATGGCGACGGCAGGTTTTGTTGACTTGCGGTAGATGGCGCCACAAATAATTCATACCCTTTTAGCGGCAATATTAAGCTTTTGAAGCGTTTCTGCATGCCTAAACAACAAGATTTTTTAAACTTAACCCTAAATCAAGCTTACAATTGCCTAACACTATCACTTACAAATCCACTCCGAATGACGTCATACCACAGGTTCCATTTGCGGCCACCATGTGGCCGCAGGTTGGGAAAAAAAGCGTTTTTTATTTTGCGATTACGCAGCGAAATAGAGGTATTTTGGGGTATGGTGGCACTTTTTCTCTTACTTATGCCGAAGTAAACAATATAAAAAATACAAGCTGCACATTCGTTCAGTGTTAAAATCATTGCACCGCCCCTTTAAGACTGGCGTTTTGCGTGCATCGCGGAGAAGCGTACACACAAAAGCTCCTGATGGTCTACTCACGGGCAGATCTCGGTATCCGATGAAGTAACTGTGTCGCACGTATGTTAGACAGCGGGTCCTAAAGCCACAGCGTTCGCTGCAGACATGATGGCAGAATTCTCTGCCGGCACGCCTCGGGCATGTTCGTACATGTCTGCGGACAGTTTTTGTACGACGAACATCTTAAAAGGAAGAGACAGGCCTCAGAGAGTGCACTGTCCTTTGTATGAGCAGCGCGAGCGCAGCTTGAGTCAGGGTCGCTGGACGTCTCGTATCTCCTCTGTAAATGAGGAATCTGCACAGAACGACTGCTCGCTGTCATCAAGAAGCGAAGGGATGTGTAGTGAGTCACGTTTTCTGCATCGGGATTGGTTCTTCGAAGCTCTTAGTGGCTTATGCCGCAATCTCGTTGCTTGTGGCGCAACGCGGAGGACAGGTTCGTCTGCTGTTGTGGTGACGTCAGAAAGACGCTGAGCTCTGATTGGTTCCGAAGGAAGGATTGTGGGTAGACCTCAAGGCATATTGCTTTGAGGTCTACCCACTATCCTTCCGTCAGAGCCAATCGGAGAAGCAAACGATTTGCTCTCCGCATAGTGAGACGCTCTGGACAGGCTATACGGGTAGAAACGGTGGGAGAGGAGGAGGCGAGTCTTTGGTTGGGATGGTTCGTGGGCAGAGGGAATTCGCCTGCTGTCTTGACTCACTCTTCGAACGCGTTCGATTGCCAAGCGCCGGCGTTGGCCGCTCGAACAGCGAGTAGAGACGAAGGCTTTCCGGCTAACCACTAACTAGTGCAACCCTGCTGCGTGTACATGCGCCACTTATGAGCAACTCTTGCCTGGTGTCTTTAAACGTGCCTCACGCAGTAGCGATACATAGCTGCGCGTCGCTCCGGAAATGCCGTAGCTGCTAACACGGATTACTATGGGGCGAGCGGACAGAACGCAATAAACGGCGAAGGAAAGGGGGAAAGAAAGAGAAAAGAAAGAAAAGGAAGCAGCAGGCAGTCGCGGCAAGCGTCCCGAGCGCAGAAAGGTCAGAAATCACTTCTGGGCGGTCGGTCGGTCTGTTGCACCACCAATTCATCGATTTGGCCGGCGGACAAATCGTAAACAAGGGGATTAGAACCACTAAATGTCGGATTTCGATCCGGGGGGTGGGGGAAAGAAGTTGAAGGGGAGGAAGAGAAGGGAGGACACGCGGAGAATCCGACGACGACCCAAAGGGGGACAGACAAATCCGATCGCTCACCTTGAAGGGAAAACAACAACAACAAGAAGTGAATTAAATCGAGAAACGAACTCAGATCGAAGAAGAGAGTGTTAGGAATCCCGGGAAAAGGGTTGGCTTTGAACGGCGTATTACTAAAAGGGCCTTAAAACGGACTGGTAGTCGTCATTGTAAGGAGTCTCGGAGTCCGTATACGATTGTAAAACCACCGATGGGAGAGAAGCTTGTTTACGACTCAAGGGTGGTCTTTGAGGGTTGCGCTTGCACGTACTTTGACGGCGTTTACGAGCAACGCGCGGGGGTTAGTACACAGTACCGCGCATGTTGAACACGCTATGTCCACCGCGGCGGCAGATAAGCCTACGTTTAATGAATGCCCAACGAGGATCTTGTCCCTTGGGCAAAGCCAGGAGACAAACGGAGAAAGAGGAGGTTCCTGTTGGCGACGGGCATTCCTAGGAAACGGACATGCACGCGAAGGCATCTCGACGAACAGCGTGCGCGCATACGAGGCTGACAACAGATTGCAAGTGAAACCCGCTCGCACGGATCGGCACCAGCTAGAGGACAAAGGCCTGCTCATGACGTCATCGTTAGTGGACACCCCGGCCGTCGAGACGCTGCAAGTCGAGCTGGAGGCGATGCTGGTGTGGGTGCCACTAGTGATGACGTTTGGGAGGGAAAGGCCTCGTATCCTAGTTGTTATTGCCTGGATTCGACTTGAGAAACCGAACTTGTGTAAGTCGGGGGATGCCGTCTGCACAGCAGAGGGACGATGTGATCCCACGCGATGCTGCAGACAAAGAGCGGGCGAACTCCGGAGTGTGTGAAAAAGAGCGTCTGCGGTGCAACGACGAACGGAAACGATGAGCGACGTATACAGATCCAGCGATGCCACATTGTATACGTGCTGTCCAATCTGTATACACTAATGCTCCCTATACTACACCAACCCTGTGCCTAAAGAATAAATAAAAGAAATACGCGAAAAAAAAAAAAAAAAAACTACCTAATGCACGTTGAATAAATTATAGAAAGATCGGTTTCGGATAGCGTCGGCGGTAACGCGTTGCAAGTAACAGCGTTACGGCTTATGTGTTACTTGTTATGGTAGCCTAGTAACGTGTTCGTTACATTTTCTTAAAGCCGCTGTTACGCTGCTTATACAATACATGGCAGTAACGGCCGGGTGAGGGATTTTCGTAACAATTTTTGAGTGACGTATAGGATTACGCTACTCGCTACCTTTCATATTGCCAGGACGTCCACGAGGCTAAACTAAAGGATATTTCTAACTGTTTGGTGTTACCAGAGGCCAATTACGTCACGAGAACTTATGAATCAAACGTTACCCCTGGAACTTGAGAAACGGGCGAACAATGAAGGCGTGTACGCATATCTGTAAGTAAAGATTTCGGCACTCTTCTGTAAACAAAAAACGTTAATATCGTAGTGTTCTTCCGTTACATAGTAGCGTGGAGGTAACGTGCGCGTTTTTGCTTATTGGTATCTTGAGGTAACGTAGGGCGGAAACGTGTTCTTTTTACTTTTCGTAACGAGTAACGTCTCTCGTTACTTTCCTTCGGCAACGTCTACAATCGCCGTGCTGCGACAGTAATTTACCAATTCGCGCCTAAAGCTGGTACATTTGTTTCGTGCAAATAAGTAAGGTATTTCTCACCTCCATTACAATTCCCGACGAAAAATTAAAAGCTTGCTCGGGATTGTTGTAGAGTAACACATTTTTGCGGGTCAAAGAGAGAGATAGAGAAAAAAAGTGGTTTCTTAAGACTAAAACGTCTTAAAGAACTACACTTTTTTTTTTTTTTTGTTTACTAAAACAGCAAAGCAGAGGAAGAATATAATTTTCGCTTTGCTCCCGGTTTCAAATGTTGCATATTGCGCTAATGAGCCTACAACTCAGTTGACTTAAAAAAAAGAAAAAGCGGAATGTTTGTACAATTTTACCACTAAAATACGTGTCAGCGCTACATTTTAGTTTCGTACCGCGACCTACATCCAGTGGCAAACTTCACTCGTCCAGTCTATATTAATTTTTTTTTTTCAGACGCCACACATTGACGAGCTAACGCCATTCATATTCGCGTAAAATTCATATATATATATATTTTTCCTTCTACGAAAAAAGTGTTAATACTTCATAAACTTTTTTTAAAAACTTTTGCTACATTACTTAATTAGGTTAGGTGCTTCATCGGGCATACGCACAACCTAGATCCTGCTTTGAGATGTAAATGTATGTGCAGTTTTGCTGGTTGTACTTTCCTGCGCCCAATCAGGATCTGTTCTCGCAGGCCAGCACTATTTGCGCCTAATATTTTACGTAAATAAAGTCTATTCTATTTTATCTTAAATAGGTATTTTTACTGCGCTTATGGCGTGTATAACTTATATTGTAGTTTAGCACATTCAGTCTGCTTGTAAGACTGGAATATGTTACAGCTCGTGACATTTTATGTAATGCCATAAATGTGCATCAAAGGTAAAAATTCAACATGCATCTATATTAGGAACCAGATATACACTTACGGATTCAAAGACGTGTAGTTGGGCTACCTGTCCAAAAGCAGACTGCGCAGATCACGGGCGCACGCACACAGACACACAGAATCAGACGATGGGCCGCCGACTTCCAGCAGACGACTTCTAGCAGACGATTTCTGGCAGACGACTTCTAGCAGACGACTTTTCGCAGACGACGACGACGGCGGCGGCGGCGAGCAGACGACGCGCGCTTGGATACTGTCCGTTCGTGACGACGTCCCGCTTGCACTAATCAGGAAAACCGAACGCGAGGTCAGGCCACAGAGCAGCAGTAGCTATCGGTGGCGGACATTCTGCCCGGTAACCTCTGCACAAGTCGCGGAGAAGCTTTCGGATTTGAAATACGGAGGAGGGCGAAAGACGGCGGGCGGTTACGTGGGGAAAGACGCGCTCGTCGATGGTATATTGGCACTGCTCCGAAGCACGTCGGCGGACAGGATCGAACTGGCGAATCTTGCCGATGAGCCGCTGGGATACACGGCTATAAGCGGGCAAGCCACCACGATCCCTTCCCTGCACCTCCTCGTCCCTCTCCTCTTATCAGTCAACAATTCCGCTGTCTTTGTCCTCGGTGAACTCGAATCGGTGTCAGTGGTGTGGTCAGTGATCCGATAGCTTGCGACTAAGTTAAACGGAACGAGTGAGTAACCTCGCTGGGCGAGCCTTCCAAGGTCATCTTTACACGGCGGTTGAATTGTTTGCTCGCGAGTCAGGGCAGTGGCGTGTCTGGGACTTCCACTCATATATTCTCAGAATCAGATTTATTAGACGGTCCGAGCCTGCAACGCTGCTTCTTTGGTTATTTCAATATTTGTAGAGAGCAAGAGTTAGAAGACGGTACGAGTAAAAATTATCGTAGCTATGTATAAAAAAAAACTTTAGTCTGCCGGTGTGTATAACGACACTGCAACACGCTGTAAACGATAAATTTAGCCGATACAGTAGGACAGCTAGCCTGGGGTTTTTAACGTCTACATTGCGCTGTGAATGTACGCCGGTACGATGCTCATCCAGATCGAAACGGGCAGGGGTGGGAAACGGGGGCTCAGCCAATACCGCGTTGAAGACAAGGCATCGCATAACGTCAAAATTAGTGACGCTGACGCGAGCTAGGCAACGCTGCATGGAATGGGAGGGGGGGGGGGGGGGGGGGGCAGGCTTTGTTTTGTATATGGTAGTGATTGAGCCCAGGAGGGTTCCGCAACGCGAGCTTTCACTTCACGCACTCCGAGCTGTGGTGTGGTTATTGGTACCGTTAGTTTTCTTTTTTAGTTTTTGTTTAAACAAAAGGTTCAAGAACAAATGGAATAAAAAAAAAGAGGCGTTTATCTAGATGACGTACACGAGGTCCTGGACGACATTATGCAGTCGGCTCCAGAACCTACACCCCTCGTATCTCGCGTGAGCATTTTCCATGAATTAAACATCGATCTGGGAGATTTATTTCGAGTCGCATATGCCACGGCTCGCTTTTGGATTCTATCGCAAAAACATACGACCCGCTGCAATCAAACTCTGCAGGGATAGATCCGGACCGCAAAATTTACGGCGACGGAACCAGCGTGCACGAACCAAATTCCACGACATGGATAGAGCAGCAGCTCCGCTTATAGCCATCTTGCTTGGCGAGACTCGGAGAATCGGTCTGAACTTACGTAAGCGAGCAGCCTCGATCTGAGAGGCCACGATAGCTCCCTCCGCCGATCCATAATGCAGCATTGATTGGTTCCATCGACGCATCCTGTGGTACGCCGGCACATCCCCGTGTGTGTTATCAATCGCCGGAAATTCTAAGGACGCTTCTCACCTGTCTCCCGAGTTACGCGCGAAGACGCCGTCCTGGCACTGGAGGGCAAGTGGGCGTAAAGACCTCGAACATATACTTTGCTTCATATATTTTGTTCTGTAAGCTGGCAGGACGATGATATACGCATTGGCTGCTCAAGGTACTTCACTTCTCAGCCCTACTTTACTTAAAATGAAGAAGAGAAAACTTATTCGCTTCTTTAAATTTTCCCCAGAAGAGCGTCAACGGACGTGTGGATTGAATGAATGTAGACACTCGAATTTAGCTGAAAGTGATTCTAAAAGAAAATCGTAGTCCTTTTCAACGTCTTTTACGGGAAAGAAGCTTACAGTGTATAGCGCCGCAACACTAGTTTACACAAGGAAAGACATCTTAATGGAAGCCACACTCTCTTTATTTCCAATCTTCTCTCATAGAAAACTCGCTAGAAAAAAGAAAAGAAGGAAGAAGACGGGTTGGTTCGGAAACAGCACGCAGTTCGCCTTACGCGACACAGCGCTGCAATAAAACGGGATTAGAATCGCTAATTTATGAAAGATCCATCGCCGGAATCACAGTCGATGGCCAACATCTAGCGGACTGTGCGCAGCCATGCGTGTTTGCTGCTCAACATTGACCATACTCTTCGCCACTAACTTTTTACGACGAAAATAATCCCTGGAGAAGGGGAACAAGAGGGACAAAGGACAAACACAAATCCCCAAACACAGCTAGGTGACTGGTGCGCGACCGAAAAAATCCGCCTGGGCCGGGCATCGAACCCGGGACCTCTGCATTACAGGTGGCGCGCTCTACCAATTGAGCTATCCAGGGGTTAGACATCAGTAGAGCAAACGGGTTTTATCAGCCGCCACCAGTCTCACACCAACAAGAGTGAAGCTTGCAATTTAAGGTTATGATTATAATGCAATTAAATGCAAAGGTGCGAGCGAGCTGGACAAGAATGACGAAAATAATCACCATGGAGAAGAGGATCAAGAAGTACAAAGGACAAACACAAATCTCCTTTGTCCTTTGTCCCTCTTGTTCCCCTTCTCCAGGGATTATTTTCGTCATTCTTGTCCAGCTCGCTTGCACCTTTGCATTTATTTGCATTATAATAATAAACTTTTTAACGACGGTTCCTTTCAAACACCACAAAAATTGCGCGGCCTCATCGTCTGCTAGCGTACCGCCATGTTTGCTTTCTGAGGAGCTCAATGTTGACCACACTCTCCGCCGCTAAGCTTTTACAATGGTTTCCCGGAGACACGACGAAGACTCCGCATGCGCGTCATCTGCTAGCGCACCGATGTCTGCTATCTGGGGGGGTTCAGTATATTGGCCACACTCTACGACGGTAACCTTTCGCCGCGGTTTCTCGCAGACGACACAGCGACTCCGCACCGTCTGCTATGCGGGTAGAAATTGAGGGAGAGGAGGAGACGAGGGGGACGGCGGAACACCGAGCTCTGGTTGCCATGGTTACTGGGTAGACGCGACGCTATAGCTGCCTCTGTCTATACTCAATATTCGTACGGGCTCGAACACGCCGATGTTGAAACGCGTTCGAAGGGTGAGTACAGACAAAGGCAGTTAGCTTTACGTCACTGATCATTCCAACCAGAGCTCGGTGTTCTTCTCTGCGCTCTCTCGTCTCGCTTCGTGCCGCAATATGGCGGCATTCCAGCATGGTTTGGAGACTTACGACGACGCACGGATTCGCGGAAAGGAAGGACTGGTGTGGCGACGACGTTTCTGGCGATCGTGCACGGGAAGGGCTCCCCTTACGTGCTTCGAATGACGGCCGAAGGCCGGCCACCACTCTGGCGTCGTCGAGAACCGGCGCACGATCCTCGAAGCCGATCGCTCATCGAAGGACGGCGCTTGTACAGATAACAGACCACATCCAAAACGGCGATTGCTGCGCTGCAGCCTCTTGCAGCCCGCAAGAGAAATAAAAGGATAATATGGAATGGAAAGCGTACTTTACCGTGCCCTTCATTTTTCCGTTGAACTGTGCATAGGAAAGGGCGTTCCGTAATAGGGGAATCGATCCCGAAGCTGAGCAGTGTGTAACAATCTCGGATGTGAAAAGAACACGCTATGCGCGGCTGTTTTCGGCGAAAGGCGAAGGCCCAGTCACCAAGTAGCGTTTGACCGCGCCTAACTGCCATGATGGTTCACTTAGAGGTAAGGGCCATTCGCCCAGTTTACTATGTTATGAGGAGTTACGCAGATAGGCCCATTCACAAAGGAGCGTTTGGCCACGTTATGAGGACTTACGTAAAGTAAAGACTCATTCACACAGTAGCCTTTGACAACGTTATGAGGGCCCACCTAGAGAGTTAAGGCCCATTCACACACTCTTTGACTACGTTATGAGGGCTTACGTGTAGCTACGATCTATTCACTCAGTACTGTCTGACTACGGTATGAGGGCTTACGTGTAGTTAAGACCTATTCACTCAGTACTGTCTGACTACGGTATGAGGGCTTATATAGATAGTTAAGGCCCATTCACGCAGGAGCGTTTGACTGTGTTATGAGGGCTTACAAGTAGTTAGGGCCCATACACCCAGTACTGTGTGACTTCGGTATGGGGGCTTACATATGTAGTTACGGCCCATTCACACAGGAGCGTTTTGACTACTTTATGAGCGCTTGCGTGTAGTTAGGATTCTCACAGTACTGTTTGAGTACGGTATGAGGGCTTACAAGATAGCTAAGGCCCATTCACAGAGGAGCGTTTGACTGCGTTATGAGGACTTACGCAGAGAGTTAAGGCCCATTTACACATGAGCGTTTAACTACATTATGAGGGGTTACGTATAGTGAAGACCAGTTCACACAGTAGCGTATGCTTGACTATTTACCCTACGCGATGTGGTACGACCAGCGATGTACCAACTTGTTTTTGAGTGGGGGAACAAACCAGACCCCCAGACCCCCCCCCCCCGCCCCCCCCCCCCCCCCCCCCCCAAAGGGCCGGGAGGCAGTGCCCTAGGTATCCCTCGAGCGCCGCCGTCCAGTGTTTGCCCTGCCCAGTGGCGGCTGTTTCAGGGGAGGGGGGGGGGGGGGGGGGGGGGGGGCAAAGCACATGCCTTGCCCCCCACTTTGAGAACTGGGGGGGGGGGGGGGGCAAGCGCCCCCCTTGCCCTCTTCTTCTCCCCGCCCCCTCCCGGTTGGTACGCCCATGGGTACAACCGACCGCGACATCCGTGCCTCGTGTCGCGTTCAAAGGTACTCATTCAGTGGGTTAATTGCCCCGCGACTGGCGGTTGTAACTCTACGTAAGCCTCTATAACGCAGTCAAGCGTTATCCAATGCTGCTATATTGAACGGGCCTT